ATCATTAGTGGTGACTGTTCTGACAGTGATAATTTTATTTCTATTATGAGCACTAAACACATCATTTGCCCATTAAATCATACTGTATCTGTATGTAGATGCTTTTAATGTTCTTTTTTTAATTGTGTTTCTTTTTTTTGAATGTCTTATATGACAGCTGTTATCTTCACCACGATTTAGTATGTATAAATAAGTCTAACACTTACCATAAATGTTTGTTGTGGTGTTCCAGTAAAAGCATCTATCAACCTTATAACAGCACCATTTGTTGATATCAGTATCATTTTACCGTCAGCACTGAACTTTAAACCTGTCCAGTCACAGTCTCTGTCAGGTTGTAACCTGAATGTTGTGAATGGTCCCTGAAAAATAACACACAACTAATTCATCTGTACCCATGACAGGGCGCATACACTTCAGAAGAAATAAAGTGACATGTTAACTCATTAATATGCATAACTGTAATATCTCAGGCACCATTGCCATTGGGGGTGTGCATTCGGTGCTATATTGAAGACACTGAAGTTAGAACAAGAGATATGACTAACATATCAGATTACCATATACGTCATGTGAACTCATTAATATGCATAACTGTAATTTTGTAAGTAACATTGCAGATAGACATGCAACTAGCACTATAATTGTGTGGTCAGACACGATATATGAAATATGTCATCATGGTTATGATTTCAATAGCTATTTTAATTGCTATATTTTCAGATGTAGTATTTGTTCTACCGTAATGGGAGCACATCTGCTCAAATATAGATGACAAAGGCAAAATAATACATACTTCAATGATTTTGCATGCAATAAATAGAAGCTTTCTTTGTTTTAAATTTGTATTTCTCCCAGAAATAGGCACCTTTGTTTTTTAATAATGTTTAACTGTTCTTGTACATACAATATATAATGAAACAAATTTGTTTTTCAATGTAATAGCTGCTTGTTTTCCACGCTAATATGATGATTCTGTCATCCTCATTAAATCTTACATTGAAGAACAGCAATATTCATAATTTTAAGTATTCCTTGTTCTATTTTTATGGTGCAGTTTTTCAATTGTGTGATGTGTGATCACACAAAGCTAGAACCTTCTTTTTTGGCCTAACACAAATTAAGATATGGCTCCATTTAAGTACGGGAAATATAATAGTTATTCATTCAAAACTAAGCAAAGCCAATGTCCTTACCTTATCAAATGACCTCAGATCATAGAGCTTGATCATTTCTGAGTTGATACCGGCTGCAAATATAAGTCCTTCTGGATCAAATGAAGCCACTGGTCTACCTTGTAAATGCATTACACCCTATAAACAAAGATACAATGTGAAGTCTCTTGTCAAACATTCTCAGAACAAGATGAATAGCAAGTTGGCAGAACAGAATAATATTTGTAGCTGGGAACATTTATGATTTGTTTCTGGTGATGAAATTTTACAAAAGTCGCTGTCCTCATAAGAACCCCAGTGAAATGGTCACAGCTACAAAACTCTCTCCATAAACCTGTGTAGTAAGTCTATTCATAAGCATATATGTCAGCAAAGTTAATAACCAATCAGGTTTGTTGTTACAAATAGCAAAATTTCAGATATTGCAATTTTCAGCAGTTTGGAATGGTTACATTCATTCACTGTTTCCTTTATTTAGAGGTGTTTCAAGCTTTCACTATTCTCAAGAGTGCAGTTGGTAGAAAGTTGGTACAACATTTATTTTGGATGTTGCCTGTGCTGCAGGTTGTGTGGGTTTGATGACCGATGGGGGTCCTGAATTCAACCTAGGATGAATATCTCTATCTATATCCAGTGGATGAGTGAATGTTAATAACCAATGTGAGTATGTTGCAGATTTATTGGAAAGAGGGTATGGATATTCAGCATCTGAAACTGTAGTCTGATGCATACAACTTAAAAAATTGTATTGACTTGGAGAGAAAAGTCAAAACTGGTTGTGTTATTTTAATACAGTAATTTTTAATTAGCTTCCAAGATAATCACTGCACACTACAACAAGGTCACCTATCCATAAAAACGCACACAGAAAATCTTCAATCAAAAAAATCAGTAGTAGATAGGAGCAATCTGATTGGCTGAACCTTTCACTATTTTCACTGTGGTGACACAACTAACATACACCACTTATAAGAGACTTCAAGGTGGAGGCAGCAAGTGAGCTGAAACATTATAAAATTCAAGATGCGGAAGATGAAATCATTTCAAAGGCAATACCTTAGAAATACCTTTGTCCTGTAATAAATTTGATTGTGAATGTGATATTATGCTTACCTGACAATTGGGTGATCTAAGATCCCAGTATCTTATTGTTTTATCTAATGAACCTGATAGGAATGTATCATCGACAGGTGACATGCTTAAACTAACAACTCTGTTGAGAAAAACATATCAATGAGTTACTTACAGCCACCTATCTGGATGGATTGCTTCCCAAACAAAATACACACCAGACATTTAAAAATAAAAAATGTAATTTGCTGCAGCTGGAATTTATTTTCATCGCAATTAGAGATGTTGGATTTAAAACTGTATTTAACTGTTTTTATTTGTTATTTTCGGACATATTCTTAGAAATAACTTTGAAATGAACACAGTAATCAGCAGCAGTGCCTTTCACCCCACCTCATTAAATCTCAAAGAACATTGTGTATCTAATTAAAACATACAGCATAATCCTGCATAATACAGCAAGCAATGAAGTAGAGGCCCGCCTTCCCATAAATTGTCACAATTCCATGGAACCAGAGAAAGTGGGGATTCCTGTGCCATGAAGACAACTCAGTACAAGCTGTGCTATTGTCAACATTGAAATATTCATCTAGTTAGTGCACGTGCAACCAAAACTGGTCAGAACACTGCAGTAACATAGACATGTGAATCACTTACTTTTTTGTGTGTCCATGAAAATATCTGATGTACTTGTTATCATGTAGTGAGAGATATCGAATGGTATCATCTATTTTATTAGAACTATAAACTACTGTGTTTGCTGCATGTGTATATCGGATCAGATCTACTCCATATTTTTTACTGAATAAAGTTCTTTTAGGTCTGCAAGAATGACAAAAAAACGACAGTTAACACTTACTAATCATATATTTACAATACAATTATAATTTGGGTCACGTCTGCACTCAACACAAATAAATGAATGTAATCTCAAGAATGGGATGCTTGTCTGTTTCACGATACCAGGATAAGCAACCATTAGATTTGTGAGTGTGACTAATCAGTTTGAAATGATCCATTTAAAGAGAGTACACACTGCTAGGTCAAAAATTCATAGGGCTTACTAGTAATTATTAGCTGTGTTTTACTTTCACTTACAGCTAATTTGGGCTAAACAAGTCACTGTCACTTGTACTTAAATACAGCATTCGTTAAAATAGCATCTGTAAGTTCGTCATTTTGAATCTGACAAAATGACATGGATCAAGGTTTCATATGAATGTCTGAAATGTCTGTACCAAGTTTGAACAAAATCCATTCATACAACAAAGATTCGTTCTTGGAATGGCAGAAATGCTTTATTTTGATTTTTAGGATTAAATGTCCTATATTCGGCATAAATATCACATTATGTTTATACCAGGATTGAACAAGTTTGAGGCCCAGTTCCGGAATAACAGATATGCTTGTCATCTTGAATCAAATCAAGATTCATGTGTTGTATGTGTTAAGTCATGATGTATGTGTTACAAGTGGAGACGCGCACACAGACGCGCACACAGACGTGCACACAGACGTGCACACAGGAGTCAAAACATAAGTACTCATTTTTAAACTGCGACAATTTGAGGTAAAGCTTTTGTTCTATTGTGTCTTGACTGAATCTATCTAAAACAAGAGGTTAAATTCAGTTTTATGTAAAACAGATATTAATCCACTGAATTTGTTTGGTGGTACTGGCTTTCAATGTGACATTCATTTTGACTCACTGTGATGTTGGTTGGTTACAGTTAATTGACATGACAGTATCTAACACATGGCCATATTATCACATAAATACAAGTCAATTCACATAGCTTGATAATGAGATGTGAGAAATATATTTACATAGGTTGAAACCATGACTTGTTTCACTTTAAATCCCAACAGCATTATACATAGGTCAACAAAGTAAAAATTTTGATCCAAAAATTGTTGACAGCTTTGGTTATTTTTACCAGGTACATTACTTGGAGTTTGCAACGTGCATAGTACTGTATGGTGACATCATGCCAAGATCTCATTCAAGTCTCATCTCGTAGATAGCGAGACTACGACCTTCTGACATGGCATAGGCGGTTTGTAATAAAACAATAAAACATGTATTGTCACAATCATAGTGAAAATATGTAATACATCAAAATGTACAGAAAATATAGTTATCGTAATCCGCCATATCTTGAGCAGCTATTTTGATCCACCTGGACATCCCAGTATCCTAGTTACCTCGGGCATGCGCATTTTTCTGAGTTGGAACGCTTATGCGAGAGCGAGATTGAAACAGGATCTTGGTATCATGTCACCATAGTTGCAAACCCCAAGGTAATGTACCTCTGTTTTTACTTATTTTGCCAATAGTTGTTGAATTAAAACATAGTGAATCTTCAATTCTTAAAATCTGGCCACGACATTTTTCCTTTCAACCCATATTGTAGTAGGTAGTGACAATACATAATGAGTAAATTATAGTGACTAATACAGACGTCAAGATTATGTAACATAATTACATTCAGTCATTGTGAAGTCACTGTTATGTAAGAGTCAATTTCTTACAAAGATACAATATGTCAATTGCGAATAAACCACCATGTGAAAATTGTCTGATAAACCATCATGTTGTTAAGACTTTAATTATCCCAAAGTAACCATGGTTACTCACAATTATTTATTAGTGTCATCATTTCCTGCAATATGAATACAATCTGTTTCCTTGAATTAGTGAACAAATTTAAAGAGATATTGTCATACATAGCATAAGCTAATATTGGTAATGAGTATGGAGGTTTCTTTTTACCTCCACTGACACTAGTGAAGAGAAAAATAAATATATTTAATTTTAGCATAACCGGTAATAGTGTGAATACATATTTTAGTAACTACCTATATTATTCTGACCTCACTCAAATTTGTAGTTCGATGACAAAAGTACATAAACGTCCATGACTATCTATTCCGTAGTTTGTACACCCAGCAACTATGATAAACCATATCAAATTCCGAACGGGGTCGCAAAATTTAGCATTGTAGTCTCCAATTATGCCAATATTTATTTTAACAAACCTACGAGGGAATGTATTTTTATATAAGTGACACTATCAGGCTAAATAATGTTTAACATTTACCGATGACAAGCAAAACACCGCCGTGTTTACTTGACTTCTATCCTTCCGCGTACACGTGGTCCATACGTACACATGTTTGTTTATATTATTTACGCGCACTTCGGAGTAAGACCCGAGACATTTTGAGTATGACATATGACACACTGGTTCTGTTTCTTGCTTGTTTTCGACTTACTTTCCCTCCTGGCAGTCATATATAACGATAGAGTCGTCGTCACTACTGGAAACTAACGTATCACCGTTCGATGAAAAATCAACGCTATTTATGCGATCGGAGTTTTGGTCTTTGAACACTTTCGCCACCCGAAAACTCCGCATTACAATGTCTGTGAGCTTCATCTCCACGAGTTCCTCTTCGCTTGTATCACTATTTAACAGGTATAACGCTGGTTACAGCGATAATATCAACACAAATCGCGATTTTTGCACGCAAATCCTACAGTCCACTCAAGATTTGACGAACAGACGCGAATTAAGGAATGAAAAGAAATAACCAACAAACTAACGGACGAAGGTCGGCGTGCAACGCATGATGGGAATATTGCAACTCCCATTTAACAAACCATAATACCGGGTATAATATTTTAAGCCAGGTATGTACACAGGGGTTTGCTTGGTTTGTCTTTTTTTAAGCGTCAATGAGCTGAACGCCTCCCAGAGCGACTAATGAATGTACACTAATAATACCACAATCCAATGTCATTGAATAAATTCAATTTCCAATTTGCATTATAAAAAAACAACCTTATTGAAATCCTATCTTCATTTGGAATCTAGATAAAAATACAATGAAGTTGAGCCAAAAAGATGATTGAGAATCTGTATACATAGACCCTATGGTTTAAAGCAATTAGTGTATTGCAATCATCAATTTGCTGAGAACAATGTACATAACATATTTTATCACCTGTAATGCTCCATTGAATAGAATAAATACACTTTTATTGAAATCGGAAAGAAAATGTTACATTTCTTTTTCATTAAATTTTGTAAATGCAACTTAGCGAAGGGTCTGCATTAAAGGAATCTTTAATTGCTAAAATTGTAATGTTGACAAAATTGTGTTTGTGGTCTTTGACATGAGTACTGTAATAATTACAGAAGATATGGTATATTCACCGTGCCAATATCCAAACAGCAAAAAGCAGTTCTGCTTCTTTGGTTTGATTGAGTTTTCAATAAATTTTAGGGTGTCATCAAGCACATGGGATTCTCTGTTTGATGATTGAAGATGGATTTTATTACACAACTGTAATCTGCTGTGGATACAGTAAAGCAAAAATAGTGTGAAATAAAATAAGAGAAATCCAACTAAAAATTAAAAGTCTAATAACTACAAAAAATCAGAAAGTAATAAAAATACAGTAAATAAATCAAAATAAAGGTTCTCCCTACCCAGGGGTTTACACAGGCGGTGCTTTGTATATGGTATTTTTAAGATATAGAGACAGAGCAATGTTATTTTTCATAATTGTTAAGAACATTGCATCTTTGTTATCTTCACTGGAGATAATTTTGCAGTTTTTCAGTAAGAGTTTTCTTTCATTTTCAAAATATGAGCAGCTCAAAGGAAAATGCTTTTCATCCTCAATATCGCCTTGATAACATTTTTCACAGACTCTTTCTGCTGCTGGTAGTTTTTGTTTCCTCCTTCGCCCAAGTCCAATTTCCAATATGTGATCACTAAGCCTGAATCAGTTTTCTAAAGATTTGAAAAAGTTTTTTAAAGATAGCAGAGTGAGTGTTGGTGGGTAAAAACAAGGGCAGCTAGAAGAACTACTGTAAATACGTTATTTTAGCTGAAATTTATTTTCGTTGAAAAGACTTTTTGGGTGTTTTGACTAGTTGAATGTGAAATATAGAAAAAAAGGTACTGTATATTCAGTGGATTTTATTTTCACTGAATCATTCCTTCAGCAAAAATAGCAAAAATTAATTCCAAGCGAAAATAAAGTAGTTTACAGCATTTAAGACAGCTGAGAAACATTTCAAGTTGAAAAATTTCAAGTTGAAAAAGATGATTTTTCAGATAAAATGTCTGTAATGTAGTTTTTCAACTCCCAAAATACCTACACAAAAATAAGAAAATATTATGCTATAGCCAAAGATAATTGCATGTTCGTTATTTTTGCTTAAGCAGAATAGTGTACAAATTGTCAGAGGCTGGTATGAGTTAGTTGAAAGTTGATGACAGTTTTTTTTAGGGGAATTTCGACGTTGCGGGTTGGAAACATTGATGTTCGATGTACTGTGACTGTGCATTTGGAATGTTCAAATGTGTCCTACCTTCTGGGTTGTTGACCTCAGGTCACGGAATATGTGCAAACGCACTAACAATGAACGCGCAAATGCTATCAAATCAGAAACCACGAATTGTGAATGATTTGCTGTCACTAAATTTGGTTTTAGTTACAGGTACTCAAAATTGAATGGGTTTTGCACCTAAGTTTGTTAACAATACAACTTTTCACATTTTACCACAGAAACACGTATATCAATTTGTATAAGGGTATTTATTGCTGAAATACTTGTAGGCATTCACATTTAGAAGGGGGCGTGTCTCATAGTTTTTGTTATGGGTTATATTCAGGTAAATGTTACTTCGACTTATTACCTGGGTTTCCCACATAAATTTGTTCATAGAATACTGCCATCTGCAATGAATATTATCCCAATGATGATACCCAAGTCTCCCAGTTTTAGCAAAAACACTGTTGTCGATTTTAATGCTACAGAATTATATCTATCAATGATTAGATTATTGTTGACTTCCACCAAACTATGCAGATAATGATATTGTTAAACAATGTTGAGTTCTTGGTGCATTCACAATTATATATTTGAATGAAAGCTGAGGTCTGTTTATGTACAAATATTTATAAATACTATACAGGTTTCTGTTGCAATTAATGTATTCATTCTCAATATATATCAGTAAAGTACTTGTAGGCATAAATTTGAAGTGGTGGTTATACTGAGTATGTTTATATTGTTAAATACCTAGAAGAATGCAGTTTACTTTTTATTCAATAATGCTCTGAACCATAAACTCTGTCTGAACCGATCTGAGTCTGTTTAAACCAATCACTGATCTTCATTTTATAAAGCTTTGAAAAATGAAAGGTGCATGCACTATTCCTGAAGCCGTTGATTGTCACAAAATCCTTCAGGGGAAATAGATGTATTGCACTCATTGCCAATCAATATGTGTTCAATATAAACGATATACCCAGACATTTAAATGTCTTAATATGTCCATTCTGTTTTATTTCACAGAGTACTAAATCAAATGCTGGCCTAGGATATCACTAGAATGCTTAGTATTTTTGCAAGATATATAAAACTGACAACAAGCTGTCCATTTTTAGGCATGTCTAGAGAACTACGTCAAGATGCTGTGTCAATTTTTAACGCTGGAATTGATGCAGTCCTGCCTCACCAAATGGTTAGAAATGCTCTTTGTGTAAATGGTAACAAGTTGTATGTAGATAATACAACATATACTTTAAATCACAATGTGAATATTGTAGCATTCGGAAAAGCTGTTATTGGAATGGTGTCTGCAGTTGATAGTATATTAAATGACCATATAGTTGGAGGTGTGGCTAGTGTTCCATTAGGAATTACGAAGGATTTAATTCATGCAAATAAAAGGTAAGCAATATGTATACTGTGGCTACATATAGTCTTTATTGTATATTGTAGGTATTGTTTCTGTCCATTCACATGATTTTTTGATACATCAACAACTTCTTGGCTTGTACAATGTTTATTCATGATTACTGATTCATTCCAATCTGATTAAAATCAGATCCTTGTTTGGGTTTTTTACACATTAATCAAAACTGTAGTTAAAATATGTGAAATTAAAAAAATAATGTTTCTGGTTAAAATTGATGCACATTAATACTTTGTCGTCTTTATTTCAGAGAGTTACTTCCAAGAAAAGAAAGCAAAATTAAAATAATTGAAGGTGGGGAAAATAATCTACCTGATGACAATTCATTTCAAGCAGCAAATGAAATTAATGATATTGCATGTAATTTGAAAGAAGATGATCTGTTGGTAGTACTCATATCAGGTTAGTAGATCTGTTGGTAGTACTCATATCAGGTTAGTAGATCTGTTGGTAGTACTCATATCAGGTTAGTAGATCTGTTGGTAGTACTCATATCAGGTTAGTAGATCTGTTGGTAGTTGGTAGTACTCATATCAGGTTAGTAGATCTGTTGGTAGTACTCATATCAG